AAATTATATCGTTACCCCCCTTGAATAATATTCTTTCCGACCCTGTACAATCGAATTGGTATTCTTATTGTATGTTTAGGTTTTTTCCTTGTCTATCATATGCAATTGTGTTATTTTGACTAGTTTGCATGGTTGAGTGTCCTTGAATTAATATGTATGGTCATCATCATTGTTCTCGCAATTATTGCAATAGTTGCTTTTTCAACCGTATTACATAATGCTGCTGTTGGAATTATTTTTAGTGTGATTATTCTTGTTATAGCAGCTATTACATCTATTCTAACAGTATGCGTTTATTTTTAATTTCTTTAGTTTCATTTGATATTGCTTTTCTTAGATATTGACAGTTATTTTTTCATTTAAATTGGCCAAATTACTTAAATTGCATGAAGCTTATCAATTCGTCTAGAATTAAACACGTACATACTTCGAGATGATCTCTTTATTATGACTAAAATTTTTATTTGGTTAATCGAATGAGTTGTATTTATTGAGCTAAATATTCTTAATCATTTTGAATAAAAGAATTGAACATCATCATGAAAGTCAATCAAAAACGTCATAATAAATAGAAGAAAATAGAGCACATGAAAAACCGAAGACTTGTGTAGTTTAAGAGACAATCTACGAAACGATCACCCAAGCAGGGTGCCGAAAAAATTTACTTTTTGAAATGGCATATATAGTTGAAAAGAGCGCAAAAAGTTATCCATAAACCCAAAGTTTTAGATTTTTCTGACCACGTCTTGGGTGACTTCCGAGATCTGAGTTTTTCAGCTTTTCGAACGACATATTAAAAAAATTAGCAATTTTTGACATTTTTTTTTTCGGAGATGTTTTCAACTCTAAAAGGTGACCCAAACTACATAGGGTAGTCAAAAATTTCTGCAAACTGCTGTCTAAAATTTCATCCTAGTTGGTTTTATTCCTCATGTTGACCTTTTCTAGTAGTGACATCTCTTATGTATTAAAATACCAATACGAAGTTTCACAAATGTCTATTATGGCAAATTTCCAACGAATTTTTTAACACCTTGGTTTTCAGATGGAAAACAGTACATACGCTCATATGTAAAAACTCGTTTGTTATTAGGTTTAACAGCTACACAAATTCATGATGAATTAACTACTGCTTATCGACATGGTGTAGTTTCATATTGTACAGTTACTCGATGGATTCAACGATTTTCAAATGAGCGAGAATCCTTGGAAGATAATCCTCGAAGTGGTTGTCCAATAACCACCAATACTCAACAAAATATTGATGCTGTTAAAGATCTGGTGAATGATGATCTACATATTAGTATTGATTATATTGCTACCATCTCAGACATGTCTATTACTTGTGCTATCGTGATGAATGTTTAAAAAGATTAGTCGAAAATTTATACAAGAAAAGATCATCATAAAAAAACTTGGCATTAAATTTGCTTCTTCACAATGCAAAACCACGTATGCAAAATATTAATCTTAATCTTGATTATCTTCAAGAAGAAAAAATCAAGGTTATGGGTCATCCACCATATTCATCTGACCTTGCTCCTTCAGACTTTTGGTTGTTCAATTATCTGAAACGTAGTCTTGATACATATCCAGTTTCAACAAGTTTAGCTACGGCAACAACCAAGGAGCTTAATTCAATACCTATTCACAAATACCAAAAGACATTTCAGAAATGCATTGAAACGATGAAATTTTGTATTGAACATCGTGGGAACTGCTTCGAACACTTACTGTAACAAGATTAGCAAAATGTTTTCTCTATGAAGAAATATTTGAAAGTTGCAGAACTTTTTGACTACCCTATGTATCAGAAAACTATAAGTATTTTATACCAATCGATAGAAGGAAAGGACGAGTGGCGGTAAGGCCATTTTTCATTCCCTAATATTTTTG